GGATTTAATCCAGGACACCACATTGTATTTAGTGTATATATTTTCAAGCTGTAGGATTTTACCATAAAAGCATGAATTACTTTTTTAAACTGAGCATTTTCTTAAAACCTAAATGTATGATCATCATGTTCATATGGTATTGATGCTTCTAAGGCACATTTTCCTTTTTAAAATTAGAAGTAAATTTTTAAAAGGACAAAATCTCTTTTTCAGGTAATCATTATGAATCATCCTCCAAGTTTTGGTTTTTTTTTTAAACTTAATCCATTTGCCACACTTTTTTTCCCCTGCTGTTATTACAGGTTAATTTATGGGTCTCATCCAGCCTAAAACACTGCAGGTGTAAATTTCCAAAAGACTCATGTGTAAACTCTCATTTTTGTCACTTACACTCTTCCATCTTTACTCTGATTATTTTGCAGGTACATTTTTCTAAGAAATGACATTCGATCACCAATTCATCAAAATATTAGGAAAAGCAAAAGGTAGATTGATACCTTGCCTATCACCTAATTCCAATGTTTCAGTCTTTTGAAAAATATTCATCTCAAACCACTTGATATTAAATTTACATGCCATTAAAATGAGCAAAAACTCTACTTTCCTTCGAAACTTTACCACCTCAGAGGATTAGCCTATAAATACCATATAAATGAAAAACAAAATCCAGGTGTTAACAAATTGTTAAAACTGCTTTAGGCTTCCCACAACACTCAGCTACTTCCGTGTCCATCAAATGAAACGAGATCCAAATCATGGGTTTTTTTTCTATTTAAGCCTAAATTCTTCATCCAGACTATGGGTATGTTTTAATTGCTGAACAGTTTCAGAATTTTTAAATTCGTTTTCAACATTTAAACATTAGATGTTACACAAAACTCCAACTGTTCAGATTTTCTTAAAATACTGCAAGATTTGGCCACATGGTACAACACTCCTGCATGGCGCAGTTAGCTGTGTGGTAGCTTCAGATATACCAGGCACCCTCCAATTCACCATGGTCCTGAGCTGCTCACCCTTACTCATTTATTTATTTCACTAGCCCCTGTAGGGATTGAGTTTGCAAATCCCTTTAAGCTTTATGCAAAATAGATATTTATTGTTCATTATGTCATCAAGAGAAACTTTTCATCTAAAAGTCCTATTTTCCTCCATAGCTCTCAAGAATACCAAAAAGGACATATTTATACTTACCAAAAATTTCTCAAGGTATACACATGTACCTCTTTTGTTTTATCGTAAGACCTAAGTGCTCTCGGTATCAATGATGCAACTGGGGGGGGGTGTCTGTGTGTGTGTGTGTGTGTGTGTGTGTGTGTGTGTGTGTGTTCCTGAAAAGCTATAAATTTGATCGAGAGATGGCTTGACTAGGAAGTAGCAGTGGAGATCGTGAGAAGTGGACAGATTTGAACTGTGTTTGATGGAAGAAATTGTTTACAAGCGTAGCTTCCTCAGAAACTGAAAAGGAGGCTGGGAAGCAGCCTGACATTTTTAGCCCTGCCAGCGAGGAGGGGGCGGGACTGGGGAGGCTGTTGGGTAGACAACCCAGAGCCTACCTCAGGTGACAACGAAGTCAAGGTTGTAAAAACACTGCCTCCCTTTGTACTTACACATAGCAGGCCTTGCTTGCAAGTTTTATTGTACTTAAGAGTCAACTATTTCAACTCACCTACCCTTTCGTCTGTTAAATTCCAATTTGTTTCAGGCCTCCCTCATCTGGAAGCATTGGGTAAGGAGAACGCTGCTCATTAAAAATTATGCCCAAAACATCTTCCATCAGTGTCACCCTACTCTGGCACTTTTTTAACCAAGGAGTCACCAAGAAAGGAAATTTTAAGATAGAAGCCTTTTCTCTTTCCTTACCTTCAGCAACCTGTCCAACAAAACACTAGATAATCCACATTTTCCTTTTTAATTTTTGAATAATAGGACAATAATAACCAGAAGCAGTGTCAATATGGAGGACTTTATAGTAAACTATGTATCTATATAGTTATGTCTAGATTTCTATCCATCCTACTTATCACCCAAATTCTAGGCTGGTTTCATTAGCTTTTTTCTCCCATCCTGAGCAACAAAAAACATAGGAAAAATACGTCATGACTTTTCCGACAACCCAATAGTTCATCAAAGGTATGAATTAACTCCTTTTCCCATTTTATTTTCAAAATACTTTTCCACTCCTGCACCACAGTAATTTCCCTAATATTCCAAATGAACTCCAGGATTATCCTGAAACTTAAGTCAGGTGCGTGATCTCAAGTGATTTACTATTACCTGGACAGGGCCACCTCATGAAACCCTGAGAAGGTACAACCTTTAGGAGCAAGGAACTCTTTTCCTGGTTAGAGTGAACTGGTCATGTACCTGAGCTCAGGCTCTGAAGGAACCCTCTGTTGCCATGGAGGGAACAGCTAATTTAAAATAAACAAGTTTAAATATAAATATAATACCTCTCTCTCTCTCTCTCTCTCTCTCTCTCTCTCTCTCTATCTCTCTATCTATCTATCTATATATCTATATATATATATATCCTCCTTTCCCCTGGGAACTCTCAGACTTACTGCCTTTTTTGGAGACTCCCCTCCTTGGCAACCCTTCTGGTTACCAGCTGTGGCTCCTTACTTTGAGACTCTCTCGCTTGCCTCGACCAGTGGCTCGTTATTAACTGGACATTACCTATGTGACACATTGGTGTCAGAAGGCTCCCAGGGATTTCACTCTGAGGTGCCTCCCCTAGAGAGAAGTCTGCAAACCAAGTGCATCAGTGTACATTTCTATTGTATCCTTAATACAAGCTCTATTCCTTCTGTGATTATCAGGGCATAGCTTTTCAACAAGGAAACATATAAAACTATTACAGAGTTTTCACTGAGTCAGTATAGTCAGCATAGTGCTGAGGGCACTGGCTCCTCAGCCAGACCATCTGGGTTCAAACCCCAAATCACATAGTAAGTGCTCAGTAAATGTTAGCTCTTATTTTACTTGGAATAAACACCAAATTCCCGCTATGGTCTATAACCTGCATGATATTCTCTGTCTCTCAAACCTCACCTTGTTCTGCTTTCCCCAATTATTCACAACCCAACAACTTACCGCTTCAGTTTCTTGATCATTACAGTTTATCTGCCTCTGGATCTGTCCCCTTCTTTTTCTCCCAGTACAGGATGTTCTCCCGGATTGAACTGGCTCCTCACCACTCAGGTTTTGGTTTTGTCAACCCTTCTTCGAAGAGGTTTCCCCTAATTAACCTCTCCAAAATAGACCCTCCTTCCCCATGCCAAAACATCACGTTTGGTTTAATAAAGGCACTTATCATTAATTTACCTGATTTGTTCCCCTCCCCCCCTCAAACACACACCCCTTTAAATGTAAACTCCACGACAACAGGAAAGCTCTTGTCTTTATCCCAGAACTTAGAATGGTAACTGGTCCACTTAAGGCACTTTGCATTTGTTAAAAGGGAAAAAATTATCAAGTTCAAATCCCATCTAAATGTAAAAACCTAGCCACAATCCCCAGAGAAAAAAGGATTTCAAAGAATTAAAAGATCTGGGTCAGGTGGTAGATACCTGTCCTATTCTTAACAGAACATCTTTTGAAAATTCTTTCACTAATTTGAGAAAATCTCAGATTATGAGTTCTGCCTCCCTTTTGTAGCTGTCAGAACTCAAATTTCCAGCTGCTCTTGCAGCTACAATGTAGGCAAGTGACTAGGTTCTACCTACCGACACACCCTCATAAGACTGACTCAGAAAAGAACCATATAAAGGGACTCTGCTTCCTTCTCCTGGGCTGTGGATGAACTAACTGTTGGGCTTTCTGGGAGAGCAGTGGGGCCAGGCCAAGTGAGATTGGTGAGGCTCTGCTGGCAGTTTCCTCTAGTACTAGACGGGGCAGCACAGCACAGTGTTCTCAGGCCAGTGCTGTGCACGGTTTTGGGCATCGTTCCTGGAAGCCTTGGGTCTGTCCCCAGTGACAAACCAGTTTTGCAGGCACTACCAAAACTGCCAAACTGCCTAACTTTAAGATATTAGTCCTCACGATATGAAATAGTGCCTATGTCTGTCCACGTGATTGTCTCCTGATGCGTATCAGAACCAGCTTTGGTCCTGGGAAGAAGACACAGGCCAACCATCTTTGTTCTCCTCTCCAGGCCTCAGTCATATATTTCCACAACTCCTTGGGAGAAGCAGTGATAAGAAACCTGCAATATCTTTATAACAGAGAAAGGCCTCTGCTTATTAAAAAAAAAAAAAAAAGAGTTAACAATGTTTCACAGGTAAAAAGTGATGACTATCCTAACTTTGAATTTAATTGTTAATACCATCCGTTCATAATAAAACAAGAGTCCATACCAGAGGTTTCAAACTAGTAAGTATATGGGACCTGCAGAGGGTTTTGTCTGGTCCACAATGCTTTGAAGCTTCTTTAAAAATTTGTAGCCAGAGATATAAAGATTTCATTTCCATCTGTGATTTCTGATGCTTACAGGCCTGTATGCAACAATCAGTTGGAGAGCAGTGGCCTCCTTTTGATATGGACGGCATTTCCTCTACAATTTGCCACTGATTCACACTCACACACGCAATTCCTACTTTTCATTTGGTTGTATGAATTGGAAATTGTGCAGACTACCTGCCATTTCATGAAAAGTGTTATTTAAGAAACATAAAACACCTACGTTTTTCACTGCTATAAAATGCTGGAATAAAACAGATTAAATCAAAATATAATAGAAAAGGCAAATGTCCGGTGGGTGTATTTCGGTCATACAGGATGGGGGGATGCTGGGTGTGCAGCATAGCATGTGCCGATGGTCGACAACATTGTACTGTGTACACTTGGAAATTGTTGGGTGACTATGGGTTTTTTTTCCCCACAATTAAAAAGAAATCAATGTAATTCACTGCATTAACAGAAGAGAAAAAAGTTAACAAGCATGTAATTTAATCAAAACCAAGAAAGCATTTGATGAATTCAATGAAAACTCTTAGCAATCTATAAACAGAAAGAAATCTCTTTAATCTGATAAAGGATATTTAGCCACAGTAGAGCAGCAACAAGCAATACTAGTCAAATAGTCAAAGTCTTTACCTGAGATTGAGAAGGAGCTAAGAATGTTCACTATTTCACTTTAATTCAATATTGCATTTGGGGTCCTGGCCATACAGTAAAGCCAAAAATAAAAACAGATTGGATAAGGGAAAAAAAAGTGGGGGGTGGGGGGGGGGACAGGAGGTTTGAACCTGGACATAAAGATTCCAAAGCAAGTCAAAGCATAGTGTACAGTTTAGAAAATGTTCTATGTGTATCACATAAGGTAGAACTTGAAAAAGCTAACTGTGAGAAAAAATCAACAATTTATAAGAGAAACTCACCGACTACAAAGCTGGTTTCCTTTATCTTGCTAACCTGTAAACATCTCACGTTGATATGAATTCAAAATATTTCACAGAATGGTCACTTCCTAATTAGAGCAATTTACATTTTAAACACTTATTTCTGTGGAATATATTCTATCATTTGTAGAAATGAGACCCAAAGAATGTCTTAGTGAACAATAACGGATCTTAAGTATATCTCATCGGTGATCAATTCGGTAAGACTAAGTTTTCTACAACTTAATTCCAGACATAAAACGGACTATTTAGAGAGCTTTTTGACAGGGGGAGGTGGACAAAAAGATGCAGGGCAGGCAAATGAGCTGCAGTTTAAAACAAAATCCTGTCACTTACATTATATCTCACATGTTCGAGACACCCTCCAAGTTCTGAAAACACAAGGCAGTTCTCAGAAACAGTATTACAACACATTTACGCCATCCAATAAATCACCATTAAGAAGCCCCTTGTAAAAAGCAGTCCGTGTGTTCACAGATGTTGTAGAATCCCAGTCTCTTCTGTACGTCACCGGGAAAAAAAAATGCAAATAAATTATGTTTAGGGAAATATGGCAATTCATATTTGCCAATATTAGACTGTGTATACCAGCCCCTCAGTACTGCGGAAACGTTCCATCGATTTTGGCAGCCCAGGCCATGAGGCCCCCCACGACATCCTGGACTGCTGACGAGTCCAACTCTTGGACTGCTGTCAAGGACTGCAGGATCTTCGCGGCTTTCTGGGAGTCATTGCCCAGTTTGCAAATCACATAAATGGGGAGAGCGGTTCCTTCCTGGGTGCCTCGCTTCCCTTTCTGGATGGCTTCTCCTAAGAGCTTCAGGCTACCTGCGTCCCTCTGCTCCAAACGTTTCAAAGGGATGTGCAGGGCGTGCGGCAAACGACAGATGTCCACTTCCACTTGGGGCCTGACGTCCAGCAACAGGTGGGGTGACCCAGAATCCAGAAGTCGCTTATAGTCCGTGACAGAAATTCGCTCCTCCGGGCTCAGCAACTGCAGGGAGCGGCACTTATCGGTGGCGGAGGAGCCACAGAAGGCTTCATAGTCCTGCAGGTCGGTCACAGTGGGCCGCTCCCCACACGCTGCACAGTCGGTCCTGCGGCTCCGCAGCTGAATAGAACGGAACCGTCCCCTGAGGGCATCAAAGAGCAACAAGCTGCCACTGTAAGAGGGGCCCAGGCCTGCAGCGATCTTCAACACTTCCAGCGCCTGCAGGCAGCCCAGGACCCCAGTGACAACACCAAGCACCCCGCCATCCGCGCAGTTGGTCACCGTCTCCGCTGGAGGCGGTCGGGGGAACACACAGCGATAGCACGGCCCGCCGTCGTAGTGGTAGACGGTCATCTGGCCTTCCAAGCGCAGCGCGCTGGCCGACACGAGAGGCCGGCCGGCGAGCACACACGCGTCGTTAACCAGGTAGCGAGTGGGCACGTTGTCGGAGCAATCAGCCACCACGTCATAGTGGCGTACGAGCTCGAGCGCCGTGGCCGGCGTCAGCGCTTGAGCGTAAGGCACGCACTCCACGGCCGAATTGAGACGGCGCAGCGAGGCGGCCGCCGAGTAGACCTTGGCCTGGCCGGCCAGGGCCTCGCCATGCAGCACTTGGCGGGCCAGGTTGCTCACTTCTACCACGTCGTAGTCCACAAGGCCAAGGCGGCCTACGCCGGCCGCTGCCAGGTACTGCGCCAGTGGGCAGCCGAGCCCACCGCAGCCCACGATTAACACGGACGCGGTGGCCAGGCGCAGCTGTCCGCGCACGCCCAGCTCCGGCAGCACGAGCTGCCGGCTGTAGCGCAGAATCTCGTCTCGGGACAGGGAGGCCTTCGGCGGCAGGGGCGGCACCGGAAGCAGCCGCTCTGGCTCCTGCTCCGCCAAAAGAGCGGCCGCCAGCCTCTGCTTCAGGGAACTCAGCTCTTCCTCACGCCGGGCGACTTCAGCCTGCAAGGCGAGGACCTCCTCCCTGGCAGCCATGGCGACCTCTCCCGGAAGCTGTCTTTAAAGGGATTTCCGTTTCCGGCTTCCCGTCTCCTAGCGACTGGAATAAACTAAAACACTTGATGGAGCGTTGGAAAAGGCAGTAAGTAGATGTGTATTTCCTGCAGTAATCTTACGACTCAACTTTAAAGATTTATAAGCCCTGACTATTTCCAATAGAGACATACCAAGCGCCCCAGGAGAACCAGCGTTCAACCCCACAGGCCCTTCTCCTCCTCCCGAATTCGGTGCGGTCCGACTGGGTTCCCGCCCCGCCCCGCGTCTACGTCATTCCGCTTCCGGCGTCTCGCGCAGTTCCGCCATGGCCTCCAAGGAAGGGAGTCGTACCCCTCCGAGGTCTCGGCGGGAGCCGGGTGGGCGCGCCCCGCGACAGGACAAGTATTCGGTGCTTTTGCCCACCTACAACGAGCGCGAGAACCTACCGCTCATCGTGTGGCTGTTGGTGAAAAGCTTCTCCGAGAGGTAGCGTGCCCGGCCGCCCTCCCCGAGGAATCAGATGAGCTGGCTGCCCCGGCCTGGGTGTCGGCAGTTGGCTGCGCTAGGCGGTCCTGCCCGGCCCCTCTTCGGCTCGTGCGGGAAGACTTGGGGAGGAGGCCACCCTGCGAGAGAGGCAGAGGCGGATCCTTCTAGGGTTCTCCCCGTGTCTCGGGTTCTCCTTCCTGTCCTTGGTTTTTTGTGAGACGCTCCTTCATCTTTATTACATACACCACTCCGTCTCCCCCAGCTCCCACCTTCCCGCCGCCTTTTTCTCTACGGGATGGCCACTCTTAACTTGGGGCGGGGATGTAAGCCTGACCTCACTCCTCTCTCCAGGTGGTCAGGATCTGCGGCAGGGAGTCTAAGCGAGCACGCTCACTCCCGCCCCCGTGCCGGCTGCTTATGTAAGCGTGAGGTTTGGTGTCTGGGTGAGGAAGCTGCTGCTGGGCTGGACACCCTTTCTGGAGAGAACAGGAGGGCAGCTTCTCTGATCCCTGGTGGATGTTTGTTGTGGTCGTTAGTTAGAGCCTGGGTGGGGGCTTAGAGTTTGAATTTGAAAGTGTTGATACAGTGTTGTTTTTTTTAACGTCAGGAAAGACTGGTGTCAGTACAAAGTAGCTTGTTTTCTGGTTACACGGATGATACTATGTTGTCGACATGTTCGAAGGTCTGCCTGTATCAGCACATACAAACTTAGCAAATTATTTTGAGAATTATGTCATGTGGCTGTTGTAATGGATCGCACTGGGTCATGTCAGCGAACCCGGATTATTTCCAGAGGTTTTGTTTGTTTTCCTTTTTGACGTTTGCTTTACAAATGAGAACTGGAACTTTGTTCACGCCACATTTTCCAGCACTTTGAAAGGTATTTGACCCATAGTGCTGCTTTGTTACGTGAATGTTGCGACACACTTATTCTTTTGCTAGTATGCAGGGGATAAAGTCTTCAGGGTGATATTGCTGGGTCGACAAAGATGTGCTGAAAATTGATAGTTATTTCCAAATTGCTCTCAAAAAGAGACTGTACCCGCTTAGGACTCCAGCATTCATCAGTGCCCCTGTTTTGTCACGGGCCAGTCAACCTGAGCATTATTAAACTTAACGTCGTAGGAAATGCTAATTGGTGAAAAACATTTCTGTTTTGATTCTGTTTCTTTGAATGAGATAACTGTCGTCACATACATAGCTCTTCAAAAATTTTTATTGAGATCTTTTCCTCTTTTTAAATTTGTTCTCTTTTTTTTATTTCTACAAGCTCTTTCCCATTTAGAGAAATTGTCACGTAGCTGATCTTGTTCCCATCTGTCTTCTGATTATACAATATTTTTTGCTCTATTTTTAAATATTTTATGTAGTGCAGTTTATCTTTCAATAGTTTCTGAGTGGATTTTTTTGAAAATCAAAATGAAGTTTAACGAAGGAAACAATTTCTTTTCAGATACAGTCAACTTACCTAATGTCAGCTCAGCTTGATTCCTTTAAGTTACCTCACCTTGGGGCTCTGTGGGTGCTTTGAAATGGGAAAGGGGCAATAATTTTGCATATGAATGACTCCTTTTGCTTATGAAGTTGATGTCTTTCAGCACATCAGCTAGAATCAACATCTTACATGCTTTCCCTTGTAAAGCGCGTGCCCAAATTTAAGGCACAGTGAAAAGCTAAAGTTATATCAACTCTAGAGGATAGGCTGAGTCTTGCTTTCTGGCATGTTTGCTGGAGCTGACTTTCTTAATTAAGCCTTTAACAGTGGATTGTGTTTTCTGGTTGATTTCCTTGCATGTTTCTTAAAGTAGGACCAAGAAGAAACAGAATGTTATGTTGTGAGGGTTTGGCTGTGCCTCATTTTCTTTCCCTTAAGTTTCCCAATAAAATGAACAAAAAGAATGTCTTTTAAGGGGGTGGGGCAGACATGATAGTGATCGCATGTCCATCCAGGTATTGTGTTGGCTTCTTTCTAGGGTAGAAACTAGTCCGTGAAGATAATGGAGAGCAGCAGAGAGATGTTAGTTTTGAAATCTTTTGTAATTCTGTGCTATTTCTTTTCATTTGATAGAATGGGTACAACTATTTGAAATAGTGGTGTAAAAGATTATGTTATCATTCTAACGTGGGGTTTTTTTAAGGGTAAAATTAAATCAGATGTATTCCTGATTATGTTCTTTAAACCTATGTGGGATTAAATTAAAAAGAATAATCACTCAGCTACTCAGATTTGAGTTATCTTTTAAGTATACTTTTGAAATTAATATAACTAAGATTTGATATTACGGTCCCACAATTCCATTTCCAAAGTAAATAAAATTTCATATATCCGTGTGTGTAAAGTCACTGATTCTTTTAAACTGGAGAGTATGTTTACTGTGTGAGAATTTTTTAACCTCTCAGGACTCTATCATAGCATTTTCTAGGAACGTGCCTAGTTTGGAGGTGAAGTACTGAATATCTGACATTTCATTTGATAATTGAAGTTTTCTTTAGTGATTAATATGGCAATAAATTTCCACTACTGGTAAAGAATTAGTAATTTTAAAATTATTTTTTAATTTGAGAATACTGTCTCCAAACAATAGAAATTTATTTATTTATTTATTTATTTTTAGTGGAATCAACTATGAAATTATAATCATAGATGATGGAAGCCCAGATGGAACAAGGGATGTTGCTGAACAGTTGGAGAAGATCTATGGGTCAGACAAAATTGTAAGTCATGTGAAATTTTTCTATGTTACGATTGTGTTTTATAGAGGAAAAATGAGAGATGAACAGTGCTTAAATTCAGTCTGTTTGTGAAACTGAAAAAATAAAGAGCAACTTATACACCAGGGATTTAGATGCATTTTTATTGTGCTTGAGGTTTCACATCTTTTTGATATGTTGGATCAGTAGTAATTTTACAGCAAAATAATGAGTCTGGATGAACACTGTTTTTATTACTGATTCTGCAGAAAAATTTTCTTGAAGGGCAAAATTAAAGTTATTGATATTGATTAATGATATTGAATTGACAGGGAATGTGATAGGTCTAGGTTGTAATTTAGTAATGTGTGTCTTGACCTTTCTTGCTCCCTTTCTCTAGATGGTCTCATACTTTCAGTAGAGAATACTGCCTACAGCTGGTCTTACAGCTGAGGAAGGTGACTGTTTTCATGTGAAACATGACTGGCTTTTCAGAGTACTTAGCATTTATTTTTTTAATCTGTAGAACAGTTTTGTGGGGTAGATAGACTTTCTGAGTCTTAAACTTTAGATTTTCCTACTGTACCTTGAAGCCTGTTTGTCCGTGGGAGTAACTTAGGCAGATGTAGAGTTCATTTTGTAATGGCTTCATAATCTTTATTTTTTGTCACTCACTTGGATTTTAAAATGTTTGAGCATACTCGTGAGCTTGACTTTGGCAAAATCTTGGGCCAAAAGCATACAATTAATTCCAGATTTAATTAGAAAACATGTTCTAGGCATAGGATATTGTAATACACCAGTTTCTCAGTCTTGGCACTGTTGACATTTGGGACCCAGTAATTCTTTGCTGTGGGGGGCTGTCCTGTATGTTATAGGATGTTTAACATCATCCCTGGACTGTAGCCACTAGATGCCTGTAGCTACTACCCTCTCCCCAGTGTGGCAACCAAAAATGTCTCTGGATACCACAAAATTGTCTCCTCCTCCCAATAGAGAGCCATTGGCATGAACATAAAGTAGTCTGTTGGAGAACCTTTATTGACATTTGCATTTCAAGAAATGGCAGCGTCATAAAAATATGTCACTGGGTCCAAATATTCTGGATTAAATAATGAAGTAATTTCTGTTTAGTTGGAAGAGAGATTGGTTGGTGGGAAGAGTTTAAGGGAAATGTGTTACTCTTAAATACATGGTAAATCTATCTTATATTAGAGATTCTATCTCACAGATGAGCAACTCATAGATCTGTTACACCTCCAAACCTCTCTGATTATCTCTTGAAATATAGAAGTACAGGAGGAGATAAAAAGGTGACAGATTTTCAGCCTTCTAGCAGTGACTTCCAATGATGCCAGGTTCACATTTTTGGCCAACAGTTCCCCAGTTTCTCTTTTAGTTCTGGGTCATGGCCATTGATTCACATTTATCATGTATAGAATACTCTGAGTTATGCGCTACCGTTTAATTCGGGAACATAAACATAACAATATTTTTAATACTTTTGTCATAGAAGTTCAGCAGAGGTGTAATTAATTGATTGCTTTTAGGGAATGCCTATTAAATTTACCTTCTCAGATTCTAAAACAACGGGTCCTCAACAGGTTCCACTTTTCCCATCAACCCAATAAAATTCAATATTATAAGAAAAAAATAGCATTTACTATCATGATTTCCCTGTAGTACAAGGAAAATTGCCTATTCATTCATTGTTTTATGACCTTTAAATCATTTAAACTAGAATTTTTTTTCAATCTCAGACCTTACCAGAGATGACACTTACTTGCTTTTAAGTGACATGTATGTCTAGTTGAGGGGAAAGATAGAGAAAAATAATTATTGAAACTCTGTAGTTGAGGAAACTGAGACAAGAGGATTCATTCACTTCCAAAGGTCACACAGCTAACTAATGGCAGAGGTGGGCACATAGAAAACTTGGGGGTACATGTTCTGAGCTGTTAGCAGTGACTGGTTACAGGGCAAGGAGATTGAGATTGTGGAGATTTTCAAACTTTCTATGTTGAATTCTTGTATTGTGTTTGGTTTGTGTGGTTTGTTTTATCCCCCAATTTGAGATTGGATAAGATCTTGGACAGACTGGCCCAGCAGTTTTGCGCGAATTATTCTTTGCCAGTATAACTCAGGTACTAAGGATTGAAAAGACAAAGGGACAAAGACTAGTAGCGCCAGGGCATACCTTCTGGTGGCTGATACTGTCACCAGTTTGATACGCATCTTGGTTGTCATCTGTGCCATTACTTACAAAAGTATTAATAGTTACATTTTAAGGTACACAGGACAATGAGGTTGGTCAAAGGTCACTACAGGAAAGGACAAAAAGATGGAGATGGTTTTGTTCACATCTACATCTGTATAGTAACATGTTCATTGCTTTTAAATTATCAAATAAACTGTAGGATTAAAATATTCTGTTTATCTCCAAATACCAAAATATTATCTCTAACAAAAAGATCAACACCACAATCAAATGTATGAAAACAGATAATTCATGAAACAAGAACTACAAGTGGCTAAAAATGAAAAAAATATGAGCCTCACTGATAAGTAAAGAATTGCAAAATAGGAGAGTACAATTAGCCTTTCTTAGCTGAAGATTTATTTCTATTTTTTCTTTTCAGCCCATTGTTTTTGAGAGTATGGTAAAATGAGTTCACTCAAATACTGTTGATCCTAGTCAAATTGATAGTTTTTCTGTAGTTTTATCAATATTTTCTACGATAAAAATTTTTACAAAAGTTTTTTTTTTGTCAAACAAACTTTAGTGTCACGTGAAGTAGTTCATAAGCAGTTGTGTTGTGGTGAGCATACTTCAGGGTCTGTGTCCAGCAGCCTTGCACACCCTTCCTGTGAATTTACTGCTTGTCCTCATGACAGCCCAGTGGGGTGAGCTCCGTGTGCCCTCCATGCCCGGATCACACAGCAGATTAGCAGGATGGCTCCAGAGTGAGGAGGCCAAAAGTGGGGGTGGTAGAATTAAGGGTCTGAAAGTTAAACGCGCTAAAAGAAACCATGTGAACTTTACATTAAGTAAGACATAAACACATTTTTTGTCTTTTGTTTTACACATTCTTGGTGTAAAATGTAAACATTACCAATAAAACTGAAGTTGCTTTAGATGAGCATTGCCTGACCTGCATCCCAGTCTCTTCCCCAGGGTGAGACCCGGTGAGCAGTTTGGTGTGTAACCTCACCAAATATATGTGCATATATGTGTATGTGTCTACATCTGTAGAGTTAGTTAAATGCGGTGGGTTGGTTGGTTTTTAAACATACATGCAACCTTCCTGTATAATTGTTACTTTTCAGTTATATCTTGGAGATCTTTTGTAACCAAATAACCACATTCTGTTAACTGCTCCATAGTACTCTGTCATATGCAACATGGTTTTTACTTTATATAAACTTTTGAACATTCTGCAAGTTATAAATAACAAAATTATCTTTTATTTGAAAAAAAGAAAGATTTCAGCAGAAATTCAGTTCCAGTTGAAACATAGGGTTATAGAATCTAAGATGAACTTTAAAAGATTGGCTTTTTCAGGGCAGATATCAGATGGGATCAATATTTTGTGAATAACTATCACAAAATCAATAAAACCTGACATCTTGTTTGGTCTTGGTCAATGAATTGTAATTATTATAGATGATTAATTGAATGAATGTCTTGTTCTCTAAGAGCTCATAGGGCAGGAATGTATTTTATCTATCTTTGTTCCTCCCCAAGACCTAGAGCAGCATGCATATCATAAAAAATTGTCCTGAGTGACTTGAACTGAATATACTTTGTTTAGGGATTTGCAATCTGAGGCAGCCTGCTTATACACCAGCAAATGCAGAAGGGGACAAGATGTGCTCAGTAGTGCGTCCACTTGAGCTGTTCCTCAGAAACTTAGAAGAGTCCAAACCTTGGCTTTCTACTTTCTCAGAAGTATTCAGAGAAAAAGACAAGTAACTAAATCAAGGTTTATATATGAAGCCAAAAAGGGGGGGGTGGGGGGAGGTAGACTAAGTAATTGACAAACTGTAAGAAAAGAGAATTTAACCCTCTTGTCATTGGGCCTATAGAAAATGGGATGCAGTCATCCAAGCATAAAGTCAAGATAAGTTGATGGAGGAAGAGTGATAATCAACATTTAAAATCACAAAGGAAAGTGAGAAAACAAATCTGGCTACCAGATATTCCAAGAAGGTATAGAATAAGTGATATTGTTCACATATTGTCTTCTGCATAGCACCAAAAAAATAAAATAAACGTTTAAAATTTGGCTTTTATAGTGAGGTTGGGTGAAAGAATGTTGCTTTTCCTTAAAAGCTGTTAAACTATTGATTTGTTACTAAGCACTTTTTTTTTACTTTGACAAAAAATGTTCAGTATACTCCGCTTTGAGGTCAAAGAAATGCAGTTATTTCTGTTAAAATGAGTAGCACTTATATGAATAAAAAGAATTTTTAATAGTCAGATTTTTGTCTATTTGTGTCAAAAGTGTTGTTTCTTATTCTTACAGCTTCTAAGACCACGGGAGAAAAAGCTAGGACTAGGTAAGTAGAAGGCCTCACCCCTCATACCCGCTCCTGGCCTTGGTAAGATTATCCAGTGTGTATTTTCCTTGTTTGGAACAGGGCCAAAATACAGTAACCTCCTGTGATGGTTTTTAATGATCTTAATGACATTTAAATGACTTGAGTTGCCTGTATCAGTCAAGGCCCACTTGGGAAAACAGAAACCACTGTAAGTCTTTCAATATAGGGAATTTAATACAGAGAATCTGGTTACACAGGTGAAGGAATTGCTGAGAAGCCAAATGGAACAGTGAGGCTGCTCAGAGATTAGTAATAGCTAGAGGTTCCTACCACCCCAACATGGAGCAACAGCAGGTGGAGATGCTGCATTCAGAGTCCAGGAACCCAGGCTGCCCGAGGAGGCTAGCATGATGGAGCTGGGGATACCTGGCACCTGGCGGGAGCTGGAGCCACTGAGGATATGCAGTCAGTGCTGGGAGGCAGAGTAAGAGGGAGGACGCTTAGACTTTCCCCTTCTCTCTCCTCAGAAGCTTCCCCTCTGCCTCCCAAAGCTGTTTGGAAGCCAATGATGAGAACCTGGGAAATAAGTTCTCTGCAATATAGAACAGAGTAAGGATGTGAGGGCAAACGTCTTGGACCAGCACACTGCCTTCATTGTAAACCTCTGAACAACAGTTCTTTATGTTTTAAAAAGTTACTCTTTATTTTTTTAAAAAAACAAAGCTTTTCTGTTTTTAAACAGAGTTATAGAAAACCTCAGATGAGCTTAGTTGTTCTGAGATGAAAATCTGAATGCCTTTATTTCTGTTGTTAGTCACAGTTGCTCATGTTGAGGATTGGTATAATTTTCACTGAAAAATTGGAGGGAGCATAAAGGAAGCACAGTTCTTAAAAATTAATATCTGCTATTCTGAAGACCATCAGTTCCCTGGCATCATCAAATGTTCTGAATCTGAATCCAGAGGGTTCTTCGGAATTGAAATAATCTGGACACTGCAGTGAAAACAACCAAGAATTACTAACCAGTTGGTGGTATATCCAAAAGGCTCTGATAGAAACTTCTTTACAAAAGAAGTTAGAAGAGAGCAGCCTTAGCCAATAAGGTACTGTGGTGATTTGGGGCTAGAAAATGCAGGAATCCCCAAATCCTGCTCCTGACCAGTTACTTTACCTACCAGGTCCCTGAGGAACTTTGGGCATGAGAGGTGGCTAGCTGCACCTTTGGCCCCAAATATCAGCGGGGTTCTAGGGTACCGGCCGCCTACAGTGTGGGAGACATTCTCAGCAGAACCTTTATGGCAGTGGGCCAGGAGCGATGGGACGAGCAGAAGCAGGGAAACTTGTTAGGGAGGGTTCCAAGCACCAAACGATGGTGTCTGGACCAAGGGGCAGTTGGAAGGGAAGAATGGAATTGAGAGACATTTTTGATTGAGAATAAACAGTATTTAATTATAGTTCAGGATCACCTTTAGAGGACTAATGTATGCTTTTCTGTGCTTACCAATTTCTTCTCTTCAAAATGTGTATGTAAGCATTTCTGGTGATTTCCTTTAATGGAGATAAAAATATTTTCATTTTTAGGAACTGCATATATTCATGGAATGAAACATGCCACAGGAAACTACATAATTATTATGGATGCTGATCTTTCACACCATGTAAGCGGTATATTTCTTTATTAACTATTTATGATAGTCTTAGCCTATTTTACTGACTTACTGTTTGTTCTTTCTAAATTTCAGCCAAAATTTATTCCTGAATTCATTAGGTAGGTAATTCTAATATTTGAAAAAATGATTCAAATCATTTATTTTATTATTGATTTTGAACTTATTTTCGTTTTTCATTAATTAAAAATGAACATGCTATTTTGTTTGCTATCAAAAATAAAAAGAACGTATAGATTTGAGACTCATGAATATATAGATATATAACTAAATGATGTATTTTAGAAGCTCTAAGAGACTGATGAACAGATAATTCCTTTGTTATCTAGATTCTTCCAGACTACAAAAAAAGGTGGAATGGAATTATGCCCTGCATCATAAGGGTAAACCCATGAACAAATAGGCTTTATTACAGGAACGTCAGAGTGGTTCATCTTCAGGAATCTGTCAACATAATTCATTTATCACATTAACAGAAAGCAGTGTGATTAAGTCTGTAGATGCTAAAAAGTATTTGATAAAATTCACTAGCCATTTCTAATAAAAACTTTAGAAATAGAAGGAAACCACTTACACGTGATAAAGATGACCCAGTCCTAATGCAAACATCTTATTAAATGGTGAAATGTGGAATCATTTACAATAAACTCACCAAGATAGGCATACCAGCTACCATTAAACATGGAGATTTTAAGTAAGATAAGAATTTAGTGTAAATATTGGTTAAGGATACAAAATTATATTTATTTGCAAGTGATATTATATTCTTAGAAAATCCAAGAGACTGCAAAACCTCTCAGAATAATAATTTGGGAACTGTTCTAAATATAAGCTAAAAATACAAAACTGAAGTCAGATTACGCCATTCCCCTATTTTGATACTTCAGGGAGTTCCAGTAACCCTGCTGTCCTTGCCCCTCAGACCACTGTGATATGGCCCCTGCCTCCCTTTCTGAACTTACCTTGTACCTCACTGCTTTGCGCTCTTTGCTGCAGGCACACTCCTCCCATCTGCTCACACAGCACTATGTTCTCTTTGCTTGCGATGCTCTCTTCCTGCTCCTTAGCGGCCAAATTCTCATCCTTTGATCTCTGCATGAAGTCACCTCAGAGATACTGTCTCTGCTTATATCTCCAATACACAAAAGCCCCTTGGACCTGATAAGAAAGTGGGACCAGTGGAGTAGAAAATGGGTGAAAGATACAAACGGGCCATTATGTAGAAATCCAAATGGCCCATAAACTTAAGAGAAGATAGTCACCCTGGGGTGTAGTCAAGGAAATGCAAATTAAAATAATTGTGTGTTACTATTTTATTACCCATTAGTTTATCAAAATTAAAAACTTGCAGAGTAATACACCCAGTACCAGTAAGATGGTAGAAAACAGACACACTTAAATATTGGTAGAGGAAGTCAGTTGCTACAACCTTTGGGGAAAATAACTTCTGGTGAGATCTGTTAGAATTAAAAATACTCATAAGCTTTATTTTAGCAGTTCCATTACGTTCCACTTTGGGTAGTCTCCGCACCATTTCTAAGAATGTTGCAGCACTACTCACTGTGGCTGTGTTGTTGGGAGTGAGGGTGCCCACCATGGAAACCACCGTAGGATATCCTATGGAGTATTTTTGCAGCTATTAAAAAGAATGGGAAAATTCTCTGTTGACCTGTAGGGATTTCCATCATTCCATTGTGTGTATTTGTTAACTGACAGCGAGTTACAAAATGAACTTTTTTGGATTCCAATTTTGTAAAGCAACCCAAAACCCTAGCAGGGGAGGGGAGTGTGTCTGTGTGTGGGAGTCTTTATCTTTCTGTAAAGAGAAAGGTCTGGAGGGTGGACGATTAGCAGGCTGTTTTAGCATTGTTTGCTTAAGGGGGCCGAGAACAGAATGGAGGGGAATTGGGGAAATTTATAATTTTATTACTACATTTTAGGATGACTTCACATGGTGCAGTCAGCAAATGTACTGTTTCGTAGTTTTAAATATTAATAAAGGAAAAAAGAATGATGTTTGAAAACCTTACTTTGAAAACTCTTGGTAGTATAGTTCATCTATTTTCTTGGCATTGTTTTTTCTATGCAAGTCTTAAAAAGTTCTGTTTGTATACGAGTAGCTCATGAAAATAACAATTGCTCAATAGCTTTTTCTAATTGACAGCTCATTTATCCTACAGGAAGCAGAAGGAGGGTAACTTTGACATTGTCTCTGGAACTCGCTACAAAGGAAATGGAGGTGTATATGGCTGGGATTTAAAAAGAAAATTAATCAGGTATATATGTGCTATTTCTCTTATTTTTTAGTGTAACTACTAGAAATGTGTTTATAACAGGTATTTGGGTTAAATTACCATCCTGCCTTGGGATTTGTGAGTCAGAGTGTAATGTCCAATAAATATTTCCAGATAGCTTCTTCCTATAATTTTTCCTGTGATTAATTTTATTTTAGGTATTTTCACTAAGGAAAAATCAGCATAAACCTTGAATCTTTGGTAGAAATGGTGTAATTAAGCACAAATTTATTCTACTACACCCTCAGCTTTGATTTTAAGTGAGCTATTCATCTATATTTTTGGACTGTATAGGGAGTTTTTTTCCATATGTATTTTTCTTTTTTTAATCATTTTAAGTAAATTGATTTCAACTGTTACTAAGCAGCATAAAGTATTAAGGCTTTGGAGTCAGACCTGGGTTAAAATCTTGATTGTGTCATTTAATAACCTGTATATCACCTTGCATGTTTTACCCTTTCTAAGCTTTACTTTCCTCTTAATAAAGTGGAAAACCTACTGTTTCGGTTTCCTATTTCTGTATAATAACCCTCCCAAAACTGAGGGACTTAAAACAACGATTTATTATTTCTCACAACTGTGGGTTAGCTGGCGGTATCTCTGCCAGCTGCACCCAGGCTCATTCATGCAGCTTTCTTTAGCTGGAGGGTCAGCTATTCTAGAAGGTCCAACGTGGCCTCATTCATTCGTCCAGTTGTTGGTGCTGGTTGTTGGCTGGGGCATCTCAGTTCTGCATGTGGCCTCTCACCTTCTGGAAAGCTACACCAGCTTCACGTGCGTCCTCAGGGCAGCGTCCAAGAGTACCAAGGCTGCAGCCACAAGGCCTCTTGAGCCCTAAGCTCTGGGGCTAACACAGCATTAATTCTTGGTCAAAGCCAGCCGGTAACTACAGGGGTGGGGAAATAGAGTCCACCTCTTGATGGAAAGACCTGCCAAGAATTTTTCACCATTAATATCTTTCTCACTCACTGTGTTCCTTTGGAAGATTCTGTTAAGTTAATCTCAGTTTTGCCTCTTGACTGTGAACTTTGGGCAAGTCATTTAGAACACGTTAAGAGACTCTGTCTTCAGAGAAATGAAGGGGTTGAATAAAACTGATTTTCAATCCTGCTGAACTTTGGAATCATGTAGAGAGAAAATTATACATAACTGCTCCCTATTCATCGTCCCTTTCTCGTGCAGACACTTGGATCTCCAGAGGGGGACAAAAGCATCAGTATTTTTCAGACTTCCCAGATGATTCTATACTGCAGTCAGGTTGAGACCAACAGTGATCTCAGGCCTCTCTCAATTTGGTCATGACAGCTATTATTTCAAATTAGGGAGCCCCAGTCAGAGACAATTTACAACTTTTAGTTGGATCATTCAATTGTGGCTGTCATTAGCTGTTAATGTCTGTACTGACTTACAGTATAAACTTCTGAGAAAGATTGTTATCACCTGCTCAAGGTCTTATTTATATGGTCCAGAACCAGAATTAGAACCTAAGTCTGACTCTTGCTACATTTTCAAAGACCCCACTTTAAAAATATCTTAAATAGATGCACAAATGCATACATATAAACTCACATTCCTTTGATTAAATGCATTTGGTGGGTAAATGATGTCCTGGGATTTTTTTGTATGTATTAGTAAGCAAATTGAGGGGGGGAATGTTTCTGTTAGCTATTATCCCAGCTATATCCCTAACTTTGTTACTTATATAAAAATAATCTTTCTGATAGAAGGCCTTAGTGGTTACCTTGGCTTTGGAAACTTCTTTCCTGGCTGCCCCAGAAAACTTTTCTCTGAGCACAATAAAATAACTGCAACACAAAAGTCACTTTTTCCAAGGGCACTTCACATCTTTTTGAAATGTTAATAATAGCTATTAGTCAGTAGTAGCTTGCAATTGATTGATACTTAGTTGTGTTTGAAGCACGTATCTAAAATTATTGTTATGGACTCAGTGTTGGTTTAGCTAAGAGTACCTGACCCTGAAAGTGTTGGTAGTTGGAGGTGGGGCCTTTGGGAGGTGATTAGGGTTAGGTGAGGTCCTGCATGTGGGGTCCTGAGGTGGCTTAGTGCTCTTTGCAGAAGACCAGAGAGCATGGCCTCCTGTTCCCCAGCCCCCATGTTCCCCAGCCTCTATCTGTAAGCCAGAAGAGGGCTGTTACCAGGAACCAAGCCTGCAACACCTTGATCTTGAACTTCCCGGCCTCTAGAACTGTGAGAAATAAATATCTGTTGTTTCAGCCAGCTAACCTGGTGTTTTGTTACAGCAGCCCAAGCTAAGTCTCAGAATAAATCTTTGGTCAATTTCCAGAGATTGCCAAAAACCAAAATCCTCTCCCACTTGCACACATTCTTTGAAAAAGAAAAGGTGCCATTTTTATGTAGACTGACCTATCACCTAGTTGAAACTCTTATTCCTTATTAGAATCTGAAAAGGAAACTCCAAATCCCTGATCTCTTCTGCTGGCTGACAGACAGATGTTCTGAATTCTAAATGATGGCTGTTGGCAAATACACCCGTTAAAAATCTGTTATCATTTGTAGCTAAAGTTTAAAAGAATGATTGCTTTCCTCTAAATGTCACATTCAAAGAATTAAAATCCCTATTTTCTGAAAAATGAGAAACATCAGATCTCCTTTCACTAGCTAAATTTCTTGTTCTACAGAAATAACATTTTTGTGAGTGTTGCATTTATTTATGACATTAGTGTGGCATTTTTAGTCCTCTGCTCTAGGATGTGTGTCTCTTGTTTAGAAATGGTATTTGTAAAGAATATCTGACTTGTCTTTGGCAGCCGTGGGGCCAACTTTGTAACTCAGATTTTGCTGAGACCAGGAGCGTCTGATTTAACAGGAAGCTTCAGGTACAGTGAAAACTTGTCATGTTATATTTTCTACTATTTATAACTTCCTGCCTCAATTTCTTGCTTTACAATGGCTTGGGGGTTTTT